GGTTTTAAAATATCATTGTAATCATACTATATATTGTCTTATTATCCTCCTTTTAAATATTGCAAACTTTTTGTCTTAAAAAAACAATACATGGTCGCTGTTGAAAAATTAGAAAATCTAAACCAACACAAGGAAGAAAATAAAAAACACCTGTCATCCCACCAGTTTGAGAAGAGCTCTGGAACTTCTCGGTGGAAGCCTACCTGATCTCTTCTTATGAAGAGACTCCTTGTTTTGATTTTTATAACAATGGGACCATATTTCACTTATCATTGCATTCTTTTTTTATTTTATTTTTGATTATATTTTTTAACATTTTGACCATATTTACATTGCACATTATTTTTTAAGGCAGTATCCCATTGTGTGTATATTTGTACCATGATATATTTAACTAATACTCTCTTGTCATACCTTTGTCTCTATCCTTGCCTTGATTTTATTTTATTTTTTTCTTGCCTTGATTTTAAATATTGATTCACATTCATAAATATTCTTGATAAGTCCCTAGAAATAGAATTGCCCGGACAAAGGGCACATGCAGTTTTAACATCGTACCCTGTAAGTCCTACTTGTTTGGCACAAGAGTTACTCTCTTACTGAATACTCCTTTTATTTTTCTTCCCCTGGAAACTGGCACAGAACGTTGGCCACGTCAGCTAAAGAGGAGCACAGAACTGTACAAAAAATGAGAAATAACAATTAATGCAACAGAATAAACTTACAGATTGAGAGAGTCAAGTTCAACATATCAGAAACTCATGGAGGCCCTGGCTCCCAGATTATAATATCTTTCTATCTGGAGTCTTACAAGCAAAGGGTTATACAGCTTTACATAAACTTTTCAGAGGGGCGCATGCATTTTTTTTCCTAAGATTTTTATTTATTTATTTGACAGAGACACAGTGAGAGGGAACACAAACAGGGGGAATGGGAGAGGGAGAAGCAGGCTTCCTGCTGAGCAGGGAGCCCGATGTGGGGCTCAATCCCAGGACCCTCAGATCACGACCCAAGCCGAAGGCAGATGCTTAATGACTGAGCCACCCAGGCGCCCCAGGGCACACGCATTTGATTTAAAAAATATGTATTTATGCTGATGCATTTAAATAAATATTTTCCAGACATCATACCCTTTCGACCCCTAAATTGTTCAGTATGCATTTCTAATAATATTTTTCTACGTAACCAGAATAACAGTGATTAGTCCTAAAAACTTTATTTCTTATTATTATGTATCTGGTGCATACTCAGATTTCCCCACTTGTCCCTAAAATACCTTTTATAGCAGATTTGTGTAACTCGCAACTATCCACTGTCACACATTCATATTCACTTAAAAGGCTTCTGACTTATTTCCCTTTTACCCTAGGTATATGAAAACATCTCTTGCCCCAAACTTTTGCCAACGTGGGGTATTACTATTTTTGCCAGTCTGTTCTATCCTTTATTTTAAACTTGACATTGTAACACAGGTTTATTTCTTGGTAGAGAATCTTTAGAAACCTCATGTAAACGTGGGTAGGTAACGTTCCATCGAGAAGGCCTGGTGCACTGTCCGTCCTGGGGTCCCTGTGGCCGGCCCTCAGCGGTTTAGCGCTTCTCGCCTCCAGTGGACAAGCAGGTGCGCTGGAACCGATGCTTGCGGCCTTGCCTTATGAGTTCACGTGTCTCCTTCCTCTGCATCAGAATCCACCTCATTGTCTGGAGATCACGCCACCATCTTCAGAAAAGCTGGTCTCGGTGATGCGGTTAAGTGACCTCTCTACAGAAGATGATGACTCGGGTCACTGTAAAATGAACCGTTACGATAAGAAGATTGACAGTCTAATGAACGCGGTTGGTTGTCTCAAGTCTGAGGTGAGGGAGGTGGGGGCTGGAGTAGCTAGGGCCCTGAGGGTGTGACAGAGCGCCCAGGTCGGTTCCTGGTGGCCTGCTTCCTTGGGGCTGTCCGCCTGTGGGCCTCCCGCCCTTCTCAGCAGGCTGCCCAGGGCTTCAGATGCCTCTGAGGAGGTAGCCCTGGGGCACTGAGCACTTAGCCCAGGGCCTGACTCTGACCCCACCTGGTGCTCTGTATGGACGCCCTGGTTTGACTTGTCACAGTGATAGATGAAGCCAATGGGGGTATCGCCCCCATTTTGGAGATGACGTGACTGTGACACTGGGAGCTCTGTTCCCCATTTTTACACGGCAGGTTGGAAAGAGAACAAAGCCCCAAAGAGGTGAAGGAAGTTTGTCGTCAGTTGGTAGGCTGTGTCCTTGGGCGGGATCAAGACTCAGGTCTTGACAGCTGACGTGGCCTGTGTCTTTAATCCCCTGCCCTGCATTCGGGGCTCATGGGCCCACCTGGGGAGCCTCGGGCTGGCTGCCTGGCAACAGCCCTTTCTCCAAAGCCCGCAGAGCATGGGCCTTTTTGTGACATCTCCCCTGTGGTGTGCCAGCAAACCACGGTTTGTATCCTGGCTCTGTCCCCAACCAGCAAGTCGGTCACTTGGGCTCTCTCTGTACCCGTAACTCAGTAACAAGGAAATGAGATGAACAGTGTCCGTCCCTCATCTCTGTGCTGATTGACTGAGATTGTGCCCAACAGGACCTAAGTAGCTATGTATCTGTCAACCGGAGGTGCCCTTAACTGGTCCAAAGCAACGGGCCTAGCCATGTGGCCGAGAAGGAGCCTCCCCTCAGTGGCCCCTGCCTGCATGCTCCCGCACAGGTCAAGATGCAGAAGGGTGAGCGCCAGATGGCCAAAAGGTTCCTGGAGGAGCGCAAGGAGGAGCTGGAGGAGGTGGCCCACGAGCTGGCCGAGACCGAGCATGAGAACACGGTGCTGAGGCACAACATCGAGCGCATCAAGGAGGAGAAGGACTTCACCATGTAAGGTGGCCCTGCCCCCGAGTATGTCTCTCCTGCCCAGCCGCCACAGGCCCTGGGAGCGGAAAGCGACGGAGGCAGGCCCAGGCGCCGTCCCCGGGTCACAGTGTACCCAGGCTTACGGCTGTTCACCAGCCACAAGCTAGTTACCGGTTCACGCTGTGAGGGAGGACAAGGACCCCACAGGGTGCAGTGGGGGCAGGGAAGCTTCTGGAACGAGTGACGTTTAAGGAGAGCCCTGCAGGATGGGTAGAAGCTAGGCAGTAGGTGCTGGGAAAGAAGGCATGTGGGATCACGAGTGAAAGCCCCAAGGGAGGAGTTTGCGACTGGGAATGGGAAAGCGGGCCATAGTGCGGAGAGGGGTGGGCAGAGGGCAGGGCGGCCATGGAGCTTGGCAGGGGCTGTTCTTAGCAGTTGCTTTGAGGAGTTTGCATTGAGGGGCCATGGAAAGGTTTTCAAAGCGGGGAGTGGTGGGGCCAGACGTGGCTCCAGGGTGAAGGGTGCGATGGACGGCTCAAAAGTGGATTTGAAGGTGGTGGTTACGAGACTGTGGCGAAGGCTGGGGACAGAGGTGATGCTAGTGGCTGAGAGGCAAGCAGGGCCACGGATGGCATAATGTCACCTGAGATGAAGGCCCTGCTCTGGTGCCCAGGTGGCCTTCCAGGAGCCCTCCTTCCCCCTCTCTCACTGTTCCCTGACCAGGAGATGAGCCTCGCAGGGCATTGTGAGGCGAGCCTCAGAGCTCTGAGCGGGCCGGGGCCTGGGAGGGCTCACAGAGCACTATTCTTTCTGGCCCCAGGCTTCAGAAGAAACACCTCCAGCAGGAGAAGGAGTGCCTCATGTCCAAGCTGGTAGAAGCTGAAATGGATGGGGCTGCTGCTGCCAAGCAAGTCATGGCCTTGAAGGATACTATCGGGAAGCTGAAGACGGTAGGTGGCAGGCAGAACCACCCAGCCCTGGGACTGGGCCCAGAGGCAGGCAAGTTGCAAGCTGGGGAGGGGTCTTTACGCAGTCATCAGGCTGACTTTATGACATCTCCAGGCCAGGGGAGTGCACACTTAACTCCTCAGCCCCCACCCCCACTTTCACTTCCAGGGCCTGATCCTCGAGGATGACCTCTGGTGGCCAGGGTCTCTGAGGAGACCTCATCATGGGTCTCCTGGGATCACAGTGGGTCAAGGCCTAAGTCTGATTCCTGCCAAGTGTCACAGTTTGATTCCTGCGAGTATCGGCCACCAGGTGTCGCCCTCCTCCTCTTCCTCCAGGAAGCCTGCCCTAACTTCACTTGCCTACCCTGAGCTCCCCAGCCCTTCTCCCCACTTGTTGCTCTCAGCTGACTCAGCTCCCGCCCCTATCCTTCCAGGTTCCTCTCCTCCGGGAAGCCTGCCTTTGACCCCTGTGGTCCTGTACACAGCCAAGGGCTTCTTACTGGGCTTCCTGGCACCAGCACCCCTTAAGAGGGGCCTGCCTCGGCCGCCTCCTCCCTTCTCCCCGTGTACCTTGTAAGACCGCCTGCTATCTTCCAGGAGAAACAAATGACCTGCACGGACATCAACACCCTAACGAGGCAGAAGGAACTTCTCCTGCAGAAGCTGAGCACATTTGAAGAGACCAACCGCACCCTCCGAGACCTGCTGAGGGAACAGCACAGCAAAGAGGTGAGCTCCTGGCCTCTGCAGGCCTGTGTGCTCTGAGCCTCCGTTCCTCGTGACAGAAAGGTACCCTCCGCGCCCGACCTGAGAGGGCCGTAGAAAGACGTGACCAGTCTTCCCGTGAAGTGCTGGTCACCCGGCAGAGGATGCTGCCTTCATTGTTGAAGCTGGAGCTGGTGGCGCATGAAGGAGCTGAGGCGTCAGGGGCATGCCTGGCCCTTGGTTAAACAGAGGATGGCTCGGGGCCGGCAGATGCCAACTGTAGGGTAGCGCTTTGTTTTCTTAGAAGATGGGTTCCTGATGATATTCTGTGTTAGCAAATGATTCTGGAAAGACCAACGGTATAAGTAGCTGTCTCCCTGTTGGGCTCAAACCAAAGAGAGACTGTAGTATGGTGTTTTGTTTTTTGTTTTTTGTTTTTTAGCATTGTCAACTTCTTGTTTAGATTTTTAAAAAATTAGTATTTCATATTTTTATTTAATTGCGTCTCGGCTTTTTGGCTAAATTCAAGTGTAGTATCTGTTCTTGTCAGTTTAATATTTTTTATTTATTTAATGTTCTTTTTTAAATTAATTATTTATTTATTTGAGAGACAGCATGAGAGAGAGAGAGAGAGAGCATGGGGGGGAGGGTCAGAGGGAGAAGCAGACTCCCTGCTGAGCAGGGAGCCCAGCGTGGGACTCGATCCCAGGACTCCAGGATCATGACCTGAGCCAAAGGCAGTCGCTTAACCAACTGAGCCACCCAGACGCCCCTATTGAATGTTTTTTAAAAGAATTTATTTATTTATTTATTATTTATTTGAGAGAGAGAGGGAGAGCACAGAGGGAGAGGGAGAAGCAGACTCCCTACTGAGCAGGGAGCCCAACGCAGGGCTCAATCCCAGGACCCTGAGATCATGACCTGAGCCAAAACCAAGAATCAGACGCTTAACTGACTGAGTCACCCAGGCGCCCCCACTCAGTATTTTTGAGATTCATCCACTTTTATCCCTGAGGCCTAAGGTAGTTAATTTTCACCGCTATGTTCCATTTTAATGACTACCGCAATGACTACCTCTCTTCTGTGGATGGAAACATATTTTCAGTTTGCTATTACAAGCAGTGTTATTTTGGGTATTCATGTACACTATCCTGGTATACCCAAGAGTTTCTAGAATATATTTCTATCAGTTTTATTAGTTACAGCTAAATTACCCTCTTAAAATCACTAACACCTGTGTAATGTCTGGCTCGGTGTTCTTGGGTGGGCAATTTTTAACCTCTCTGGGTCTCAGTTTTCCCACCTGTAAAATGGGAGTAGCATCTTCCACATGGCGTCATGTGAGGACATGGATGAGGGAGTGTCATACTGCTTAGCACCCAATAGGTGTTTGGTGTGTGGTAGGTGGTAGGTGCTGCTGCTGTTTGTCCTGGGACCGTGGCCCCCCAAAACCTCTTCTACCCAGTTTTTTCCCTTTTGACCCCTTAGCTTCTACTGTCCTGGAATCCTAGAATCTCCCATTGGAGATGAAGGGTCAGCCACTTTGGACTCCCACCCACAGCAGGTGCTCCATGTTCAGTCCAGGTTCTCATTTCCTCCTGCCCGTGTGGCACTTGGGACAGACCCCTCATCTCGGTGCTTGCTAGGGACACTCAGTGGGGTCAGTTGGCTTAGGGCCCAGCTCTGCCATTTCCAGCTGTGTGATCTCACGCAGCTCACCTCACTTCTCGCGGCCTCGATCTCCTCTTCTTAAAAATGGGGGTGGTGGTAGTACGTGGCTCCTTAGAATGGGGGATTTGGTGAGACTGTGTTAAATTTGTGTGGTGTCCCCTTGGAAGCTCAGAAGACATGGCATAAAGGGCAGTGGGAGCCCCATCAGGCCTAAGCTTTCATCCTGTGTTTGCCTCCCTGTTGCTGGAAACCACGATGCTGGCTTCTCACTGCTCCCCGTCTTGTCCTGGCTTGTGAAGGGAACCTGTGAGCCTGAGAGGAAAAGGGAGGGCGAGCCCCCCTCTAGGGAAGAATACAGAAGGTTCACAGACACAGCCTGTTGGGAAGATGGGCAAGGGGAGCAGCAGTTAGGGGAAGAGGGAACTCAGTGGCTGATAAACATATGACTAGTTAGAAAAATGCAAGCTAAAACAGCAGGAGTCTTGCTGGCAAAGACTGGCCTGCTGCCCAGGGCCCTCCTGTCCTGCTTGTGGCCATGCACATCCGTGCAGGCATTTTGTAGGTCATTTCAGCTCACAAACCTGGCTCAGTCATTCCTCCTCTTGGTATCAACCCTATAAAGACACTTGTCCGGGCCCAGCCCAGCACCCTGCGTTGCTACAATGTTTGCTGTTGTGCAACCTGATGATGAATAGCCCCGTTGCCCAGAGGCTATGCGTGGGGAGAGGTTAAAAATGTAGTGGCATGCTAGAGAAAAGGCAGATTAGTGGTTGCTGGGGGCTGGGGGAGGGGGACAAAGAGATTACTTCAACAGGTACAAGCTTTCCTGTGGGATGATGAAAATGTTCTGGAATTAGCAAGTAGTTATGGTTGCAGAACGTTGTGAACGTACTATATGCCACTGAATTTTACACTTAAAAATGGTAAAAATGGCAAGGTTTATGTTTTGTTTTTTAAGATTTTATTTATTTGAGAGAGAGAACATGCAAGCACAAGTTGGGGGGGGAGGAGCAGAGGGAGAGGCAGACTCCCCGCTGAGCAGGGAGCCCAGTGTGGGGCTCAATCCCAGGACCCTGGGATCATGACCTGAGCCGAAGGCAGTTGCTTAACGACTGAGCCACCCAGGTGCCCCTGGCAAGGTTTATGTTATGAATGTTTAACCACAATTAAATTAATAATGCAATATGCCAAGAACCATTGAGTTGTGCATTTTAAATGGGTGACTTGTGATGGTATCTGAATTTTCATCTCAATAAAGTTGTTTTTTTTTTTAAGGTTTTATTTATTTTTTTGTCAGAGAGAGAGAGAAAGAGAGAACAAGCAGGGGGAGCAGCCGGCAGAGGGAAAAGCAGGCTCCCTGCAAGGAGCCCGATGGAGGGCTCGATCCCAGGACCCCAGGACCATGACCCGAGCCGAAGTCAGCTGCTTAACGACTGAGCCACCCAGGCATCCCTGTTTGTTTGTTTTTAAAGATTTTATTTATTTGTTTGACAGAGACACAGTGAGAGAGGGAACACAAGCAGGGAGAGAGGCAGAGGGAGAGGGAGAAGCAGGCTTCCTGCTGAGCAGGGAGCCCGATGCAGGGCCCGATCCCAGGGCCCTGGGATCATGACCTGAGCTGAAGGCAGACGCTTAGTGACTGAGCCACCCAGGCGGGCCGGTTTGTTTGTTTGTTTGTTTTTGTTTTTTAAAGATTATATTCATTCATTCATTTTTTTTTTAAGATTTTATTTATTTATTTGACAGAGAGCAAGAGCAGGAACACAAGCAGGGGGAGTGGGAGTGGGAGAGGGAGAAGCAGGCTTCCTGCTGAGCAGGGAGCCCGATGCAGGGCTCGATCCCAGGACCCCGGGACCATGACCCAAGCTGAAGGCAGACGCTTAACGACTGAGCCACCCAGGCGCCCCAAAGTTTTTTTTAATTTTTAAGTAATCTCAAGAGTCATTCACTCCACCCCCCCTGAGTCAGCCAGGTGCTTCTCAATTAAGCTGTTTTTAAAAAATCAAGTAGTCCGGGGGTGCCTGGGTGGCTCAGCCGGTTAAGCATCTGCCTTCGGCTCAGGTCATTGGTCCTGGGGTCCTGGCATTGAGTCCCGCATCGGGCTCCCTGCTCAGCAGAGAGCCTGCTTCTCCGTCTCCCTCTGCCTGCTGCTCTGCCTACTTGTGCTCTCTCTCTCTGTCAAATAAATAAATAAAATCTTAAAAAAAAAAAACTTAAGAAAAAAAATCAAGTAGTTGGGGCGCCTGGGTGGCTTAGTTGATTGAACATCTGCCTTTAACATGGTCCTGACCGAGCCCTGCGTCAGGCTCCCCACTCGGTGGGGAGTCTGCTTCTCCCTCTGCCCTTCACCCTGCTTGTGCTCGCTCTTTCTCACAAGTAAATAAATAAAATCTTTTAAAAAAAATTTAAAAATCAAGTAGCACAAAAATATAATATGTTACCATTTTGGTAAAACCACCCATAGATCCCTCCCCCCCCAGCCCCTAAAAGATACTGTATCTCTAGGTGTAGCTATATATAAATGCATAGAGAAAGGGTGGGCAGGACATTCATTAAACTAAACAGTGGAATGGGGTTTGGAGGTGGATGAGGGGACTTTAGCATTACTGGTTCACTGAATATTTTATAATGAGATTGCAATTTATGTATGACTCTTATAATTGGAAATACAAATTTTGGAAAAGGAAGAGAATCCAGAAGGGATGTAGACATCTGGGTTCATTGCTTAACCACTTGGCTCTCGCTGTGCCTTTCCTTGAAGGATTCGGAAAAGCTGATGGAGCAACAAGGAGCACTACTCAAACGGCTGGCGGAGGCGGACTCAGAGAAAGCGGTAACACAGCGCCCCCTGCCGGCTCTAATGGCTTACAGGCGACAGTGCGCAGAGGGGCTGGCCCAATGCCGCCGCGCTGGCGCCTCGCTCTGACATTTCTTTGGGTTTTAATTTCATGATCTATGAGATGGGCTGATGTCCCCTATCCTGCCTGCTCCACTCGGTTTGTCTAGTTGGTCACTTGGGGGCTTGAACCACCATGCTGAACACAACATGAGGGATATTGCCGCTGCTGCTGGATTTATTAACCATCAGAGTCTGTTACTTGAATTGCCTTATTTGTATTATGGATTAAAAGCCATCAAAAGGTTCAGACTTTTTGACTCAGCAATTCCAATTCTAGGAATCTCTCCTAAGGCAGCACACTCCAAAGTCTGTTCATGGAACCCTAAGTTCCTCACGATGTTAATGGGTGCCAGAAACAAAAGAAGGGAGTGATGCGAGGCCAGATAAATTGGGAAATGACTGGCTGGCCTGTACAAAAAGTTCACTGGGTTAACTCCAAAACCTTTTGGAGCACTTGAGGTATTAATGCCCACATGAGTCTCCAAGAGAGAAGGAAGATGGAGGCCATGTTTCCCAAGGTGTGGCCCTTGGCCCTTAGTGCCTCTCCAAATACCACAGTGGGAGATTTGGCAATGAAGGGGATAATGCCTAAATCTGTATCCCCAGCTTGAAAGGCTAGGAATCGAATCATGATACACCAGTAAATTGAAACTTTAAGCTGCTGTTTGAAAAGAAGTAGAAGATATAATCACATTATGGTAAATGTGGTGGGATTGTACGTATGGAACAACGTACGCATGAGACTTTTTAATGTGTTTTAACAGTGGTTCTTTTGGCTGGGGGTCTACGGGGATTTTTTTTTTTTTATGGGGATTCTTTAGCATTTTTTTTTGTTTTTCAGTTTTCCACAGCTAACATTATTTTATTTATGTATTTTTAACATCTATTTACTGGAGAGAGTGAGAGCGCATGTGTGAGTTGGAGGAGGGGCAGAGGGAGAGAATCTTGAAGCTGACACCCGCTGAGTGTGGAGCCTGCTGAGGGGCTCAGTTTCACAACCCTGAGATCATGACCTGAGCTGAAAGCAAGAGTCAGACACTTAACTGACTGAGTCACCCAGGCACCCCTATTTATTTATTTTTTAATTATTATTATTTTTTAAGTAGGCGCAATGGCATGGAG